TTATGAATGACCCAACAAGCAGCAAGACATGAAAACTGCGATGCAGCAACAACAGCAGCAGCAGCAGCAGCAGTATGAACCAGCAATATGCAATGTCATAGTTTAAAAAAGCAGACGAACACGAATATTTTAAAAAGATTACAAATCATGCGAAAAATACCAGTATGATGATAACATGGAGAAGCACTGGAGCGGTCGACGACAACCTCGAGATATCAGTAGCAATCACTTACAGGACATCTCATTAACAGTTAAGTGAAAAGCAAAAATGGCAATCATAAAACTTCGCATTTTAACAAATGGAACGAGCCACAGTGTGCCGCGCTGCGAGCGCATCCCAAGGCATCATTTAACAATTATACACCAAGCTTTTTATAAGGCATGCGAAGAAGCTTCTTAGATATTCCGTGCAGCATCGTAACTTCATTCCCTCAGTGATACGCCACGCCTTGGGTCGTCTACTGTGTCCGAGCCTGAAACTGAATAAACAATACGTAGCCACAAGTACAAGAGCTGCTCGCAAAATATTACCACAAAATCTGATTGTATGCTGACCTAGTTCAACATTCTTATGGTACTAAAGCCTTTATCATTCAAAAAAACAATTATTTCTAGTTAGGCAGACAGTAGTAGTCAGATATTAGCAATATTTTCCGACGTTTTCCGCATGATAAATGCTGCACAATAATATTCCCAAGAAAGTGGAGTTGTTAGCTGCACCAGAAGTTATTGCAGACTTTTTTTTCAAAAAGCATTTTGAAAAAAAGCAGAAATTCTAAAAAAAATTGTGAAGAGCACGGAATTATGTGGATGAGAACTGCGCAAAGCAGAGGAAAGAAGCTGCCGGCTGCATCGACAGCGAGAAAAGCGATGACGAATCAACACCTGATCACAACTGTCCGCAACAACGACTGTTCGGGCGGACATCTCATTTTTAGTTTTTGCAAAACAAACACACATACATATTCACACACAAGCATATGTCGCAAAATACGTACGCAAACCGTGATTCTAGACATCAGCAAGTCAAAATCAGAAGCAGACTTCCCCTATTTTACCCTCCAGGAGAAGCGGAACTAGCTCGTGTGATTGCACACCGCTATGAAGCAGCTACCGTATGGAGGTCGAAAGCTGTTTCTTCAAAGATTGCTTAGAAGCGATTCTGTCTGCCTGAGAACC